GTTGTAATTATCGATCTTGAACGAAGAATGCCTAGTAAGCGCGATTCATCATCTCGTGCTGATTACGTTCCCGCCCTTTGTACACACCGCCATCAATGATAACGATTGAATGGTCCAGTGAAGTGTTTGGATCGCGGTAATCTCGGCGGTTTGCCACTGAAGGGGGGTGTTGTGGAAAGTGCAGTGAACGATATCATATAGAGGAAGAAGAAGGAGGAGGAGGAGAAGAAGAAGAAGAAGAAGAAGAAGAAGGAGAAGAAGAAGAAGAAGAAGAAGAAGAAGAAGAAGAAGAAGGAGAAAGGTGGGGGGGAGGCGAGAGAGAAACTTACCAGGGATGTCATAACTCCAGCTTCGTCTTCGAGGTACCTGCATCAAGAGGCCACCTTCAAAGATTAGCACCTGGTACACGAAGAGAGAGAAAGAGATGAGAGAGAGAGAGAGAGAGAGAGAGAGAGAGAGGGAGAGATGGGTACACGTGGCCGCTGTGCGTTGGGAACGAGGATGTGAGTGTAGCGCGAGACATACTTGGTGCTGGAAACGTGCGGCATTGGTCACCATGTGCTCGTACTTCGGGAATGGTGTTGATGTCATCATCGTCGGCGTCGTAGTATAGGCTAAATAGGACCTGCCATTCGTAGTTTGGGCGTCGAGCGCCAGGCAGGATATCAACTCTGGTTCTTCGTCGATGATGATGAGACCTTACCAGCAAAGCCGAAGATGAGCTCTTGGTGTCTTCTCATTTGTGAAGCTCGTGACGCAGTCCTGCTGTGGGTTCGAGGTCACAACTATCTAATCTAGTGTATATAATGCTGTTTGATTGCTGAAATACGCTATTGCTCATCTTTTTATTATTATTATCATTATTATTATTACTATTATTATTATTATTTATTATTATTAATATTTATTTTTATTATTATTATTATTATTATTATTATTATTATTATTATTAGGTGTCCGATAATCCTTGGGTGCATGTGGCATCTGTGTGTCGGGGATCGAGGTTGTGAGTGAGGCGAGAGGCGTTACCGAGCGCTGATGCGTGCGACATTGGGCGCGATCCGGTCGAACTTCGGGAGAGTTGTTGTTATCATCTTTCGGCAATGTAGTATTAGGATGGATAGGACCTGCCATCTGTAGTCTGGCGCCGAACGCCAGGTAGGATAACGACAGTGTGATGATGATAATGATGATGATGACGTGGGGCACTTACCTTGTATTGGCGATGGTCTGCTATGGGCGATATCTTCAAGTACTTCGGGCGGCCGCTGATGTCAACAGTTGCATTGTCATTTCGTAGTCTGTAGTATCTGTGTAGGAGCAGGCTGGGCGCTGAGCACCAAGTGTGAATGTGAAGGAACTGAACTCTTGTGTTGAGGGGAGAGAGTTTGCTCTCCATGAACATTGGTTTTCAGTGCTACGAACTTCTATTAATGTATTATTGGTGCAATGCTGCTCTCTGGACACAATGTGACTATCTGGCTTTCAATGTGATGGTGTGAACTGAAATTGTCATCTCGTTGTTGTTTATTTTCCTTACATTATTATTATTATTATTATTATTATTATTATTACTATTACTATTATTATTAATCCTTGGTGCATGTGGCATCTGTTCGTTGGGGATCGAGGTTGTGAGTGAGGCGAGGGACGTACCCGCTGTGGGAAACGTACGGCATTGGCCGCTATCTGCTTACACTTCTGGGCAGCCGTTGTCGTCGCCTTTGGCATGGTAACTGTAGGTAGATGAGATCTGCCATCGGTAGTCTGGGCGCCGAGCACCAAATAAGATATCAACTCTGGCTCTTCATTGATGATGAAGGGAATAGTTCAGTACTGTCGATTATGAGCTTTTGCTGTGCTGTTATTCGATGAAACTCGTGATGCGGTTCTGCTGTGGGTTCGAAATCACGACTGTCTGGTCTCTTGTATATGCTGCTGTTCGGTTTTGAAGTTCGCTATTACAAAATTTCACTTGCAATTATTATTATTATTATTATTATTATTATTGTCATTAGTATTATTACTAGTAAGTAATCAGACTCACTTTCATTCACACTTTTAATGCATGCTAACAGCGACACAGCAAACCGGCGACATGCGGCCACTCAAAACTCAGAAATATGGAAGCCCAGATATGAGTTCACTTTCGATGATTTTGGCGACTCAGCGCCAAAACAACTCTCTGTTGGCATACACCGGATCACCCTGGATATCCCACGCGCATCACTCTGAATACTTGCACTGCACACCTGCACACTTCACACTAGCGACAGCTATGGCAGCTATGGCTGCCTCTACCCGATCGCTATACTAAGCTCCTCCTCTCTCGACCACTTCGTCTTCGGGGCGCGCTGCAGACCACCTCGCATAAGACGCTGAAACAACGCTTCCGCACGGCTCCCGCAGGAATGGATGAATGGTCGGGCGCTGCCTCTTGATTATACTTCTGCAGGTCATTGGTCTGGCCCATTTCCCTGACCCATTTCCCTAACCCGAAGTGCACACAGCCCCGTACGATACTTGATGGACTGACTGGTAACTGGGACTGTTGATTAAGCAGGGTAGACTGCTACCACTTGACCCCTACCTCTGATTAAACGTGGGCAACTTCGAAAGGCCACTACTGGGACCTTCCGAAAGGCTGTAGACTTGGCCTTTTGTGACTGAAGCAGCTACGGGTTTTGACCCTTCTGGACTGTAGCAGCTACGACCTTGACCTTTCGAGAAAACTACAGCTACTATGTCTAGACCTGACTAAGACTCCTATCCAACAGGTCTAAAGATCGAACCCATGCTACCTATGGACCCTACGACAACCTATCGGCTGTTACAAATACACGGGTCGAAGGTTCAACTCTACGGGTCGACACATGTACTGAACACAGGTAAGGTTGGGGTCTAGGGATCGAACCCTGGGGTCTGCAGCAGCTACTGCTAACTGGTGAATACCGCTTCACTACAAAACGACCCTTACACCTACGCAGACCTATAACTAACGGACAGACATACGAACAATCTGGGACAGACTGACAAACAGTCTGGGACAGACAGACAGACAGACAGTCCGAGACAGACAGACAAACAATCTGGGATACGCAGACGGTGACACACTCGCATGGATACAAAGTCACACAGTGGACAGTGACACGTACATAGTGAAACGCACACAAACGCTGTGACACCCACACAACATACAGTGACAGAAACCCAATGGCACAGACACAGACACACAGTAACACGCATACAGTCACGTGGTGATAGTCGCACAATGACACATATACGGTGGCGCCGATACACTGAGACACACAGAGAGAGACAGTGACATACAGGAAGAGAGAGAGATGAGGTTGATGATGTGTGGGCACGTACCTAGTCTCGACGATGGTCTGAATGGGCCTATATCCTCAAGTACTTCGGTTCGGCTGAAGTCAACAACTGCATTGTCAATTCGCAGGCTGCTAGTAGCTGTGTGATTGTAGTCCGGAGGCTGAATGTGAAGTGGGAGGAAGAGTTCCAGATGCATATGTTGGGGGTATGAAGAATGTGCTTTCTTACTGTCATCCGGATTTAGTGTTTGGCTCTCCGTTGGCGGATTATCAGTGCATTGCTGTTTCTGGACAGGCATTCGACTTCTGGCTTTCAATGAGTCTGCCACTTCGCCATTGCCCATTTTTATACTGTTACTATTATTATTATTATTATTATTATTATTATCATTATTATTATTATTTGAGTGATTTGAGGATCCAACAACCTCGTGCACGCCCTAAGGGAAAACAGGCATGAAATGCCTATGGAAGGCCCTTACCCCAGCATTTTCAAAAAATGTGGTCTTGGACAGTTGTTACACGCTAGTTGATTGAAATGCAGTCCGAACCATGCTCTCGGCCCATCCAGGAGGAGCTGCTGCACTAGATGGTTGAGGCCAGGACGTGGATCGTAGCGCCTTGGGGACACGAGGCATGGGGCTAGCACGTTACTCATTGACTAAGGATCACTAGGAACGCAGCATTGACAACGCGTTCGCCACACAGGGCACGATATGGCGTGAGCCGCAGCAGAACAATGAAACAATTGCAACTATAACTAGGGATAGTAGATAGTAAGCCTGAGCCCCACGACCTTGCAAGTAGGCACAAGCAGCGGATGTGGAAACAACCAGCGTGCGTGCGGGTGTGAATGGGTGCATCCAAATTGAATAAGGGTATGTTGTGTGTATGTGAAAACAAGTTAATGGAGACACAACGAACGAGGGAGATACTCTGCTAAGGATGGTATGCCATGGCTGTTAAAAAGAAACCAAATCCTACCATATTCCTGCTTGGATGTGTGGTGCCAACTCAATTAGTCATTATTTTTCCAGTAATTATTTTTTATTATGATCATTATTATTGATATTATTATTATCATTATCAGTGGATTATGCTAATAAGACTCAATAGGATTCAGAGAAAATAAGAATGTTAGGAAGAGACAGTCAGCATGAATAGCAACTGAACCTATCTCTCGCGCTCTTGTCTTCTCTCTCGTACCCAAAACCCCACATGCCTCAATCCTTCGAATTGCTAATGTGAGAGTGATGTTCTCACATGCTTGTTGAAATGAAACGTTCAATGCTTGATCAGCTTAGACCTATTCTAGAGATAGGGTCGATTGCGGGAGCTCTGCCGGAGTTCAGGCGGAACTCTGGAGGCAGGGAACAACAAGGTACGCTACTTCGACCCAGTTGTTGTTTTAAGACATATAGGCTATTAACCATAGTGGTGCTCATAAGGGCAAGGAATTCAAAATCAGTAATTCTTCAAGGGTTAAAGGATGGACAAAAGTCTTGGATTGTAAAAAGTGCGGGTAGAGAAGGGTTGACTGGGTGAAATGTCTGGCCAAATGTGACTGATTGCTTATGGGTACAACGATCTTGCTATGTGGACGTTTCTTTGGAGATGTGGATGCAAGGGATCGACTTTTTCATAATCTTCTCTCTATATACCGCCTAAACAATGATGGGTATCCGTTGATTTGAGCTTTCTATGATCAATTACCATTGATCACACCGATCAATTCTGATCATGCATCTGATCCGGCGTAAATCCTCGAAAGTCGGTGATAAGAGTAGCAAGGTTCCGGGTGACCTGCCTTATTGATGTCTATTAAGTGATAAGAGTAGCAGGGAAACCTGCCTTATCAGTGACTAGCCAGATATAAGAGTAGCGAGGTTCCACCTGCCTTATCGTTGATAGGTTCACGCATTCATTCAGTGATAAGAGTAGCAAGGTTCCGGGTGATCTGCCTTATTGATGTTTATTCCTACGTTGCCACTTGTACGCACCCTCGTACGAGTACGGACTCGTACTCTTGTACTTGTATGCTACTCGTACGTTAGGAGCCCCGT